CCACCATTGAAAGTGTGAGAATATTATTTCCAATCATGTGGGTTCCTTGATATATGATCACAATGACTTAAGACTACATTTCCAGTTCCAATTCTGGTTGTAAGTTGAGGCCTACCTAATTGCATTTAGGCAATTGGCTGTTGCCAAATTTGGTTACAGCTACTGAATTAAAAAGTTAAAAAGATGAAAAGGATAATGGTAATACAGTCCTACTATATGCTTAAGGATATTTATCTATGTACTAGGGCTATATTACTATTATCCTTCTCATCTTTCCTATTACCTTCTCATATTTGCATCTTATGATTATATCACTTCGTTGTTAACATATGTACACTGAGAGCTTATGCCCCGAGCCAAATTCCTTGTGTTCAATCACATTTGTAAGCAACCAAGGTTATTTAGATACATGAACCTTTTTGTCCAATCTAAGAGCTTCATTTCATAAATATGTTCTGATATAATTCTTTCTTGAAACAGTACTTTTAAAACAGTAACACTAAAATGAATTTATTTATGGGTGTAACAAAATAGGTTTTAGGTGCATAATTATCTATATATCTACAGTTTTCTAAAAATGAAATGTATATAATACTACATCATACAACAATTTAATTAACTTATTTCTTTATGACTGTTATTTTTGTAAGAGGGATTGAAATTTTTCTATCAAATACAACTAGGATCTGAGAATCTTATAGTTTGATTAGTTGTCTTGGGATCACATTTCCCCCAAAGCAGACTTACAAGTGGTAGAAGCTATAAAGAATAAGCACTAAAATTATAAAATACTAAACTTTGATTGGAAAATATATAATTAATATTCTAGGAAGTACTGTATAGATACTATCAGATTTATTGTAGTAAGCATTGAAATAATTGGTGTAGTAAATGCTTTTATTTCATGTTGATAAATTGCTTGACCTAGCTACATGTTTGATCTAAAATAGACACTTAAAACACTTTTTTATTTTTTAAAAAAAAACAAGAAATCTTATGAAGCCAAAATAACATTCTTGGTCATATTTCCAAGGTTTAACTTATGGTTGTGCAGATATTAGAAAATGTTTCCGACTGACCATATACTAGTAGGAAATGTTTATTGTTTATTACATTTATTGTTTTGTTGTTGACATTGATTCATATAGTATTGTATTTTTTGATCTACCAGTATTGCATTTAGTTCTAAGCACATACTAAATAACATTACTACTACTATGAACAGGATTCTTTTGTTATTAAATCCTATTGCTAATAACCTGATCTAATCCTGTATTACTGGTATAACCTGGATAAATGTTATTAGTTATGTTCTGATATTTATTTTTATTTTGGGGTGGGGAAGTTGTCAAAGTTGCTCTATTTTGGAAAAGTTAGTTATTAAGGGATGGATGTTTATATTTAAAGTTTAATACTACATGCTGCCTAGAGATGTTCTGAATGGTGTCATAGAAATGTTATAACATAATTGTAATAGAAACATCTGAGCAACTGGAATTTCAGAAGCATCCCATGACTCATAAACTCAGTAGCACTCAAATAAATACTCCTCAAACCATAGAAATCTCAAGCAATGAACCAAATCTTAAATTTATCTTTAGATTTGGTGTTCCTTCTTTTATCAGTGTCATCAAATTGGGAACCAATTAGCAAATCACAATCATCTGAGAAATCAAAAACTGCCTTCATCACTGAGTATTTTATTTCCTTTGCCTTTTATCTTAAGCTATGATAATGCAAATATGTTTTGGCTTTCAATAGTCATTGTTCTAGAGTGCTGCATATTTATTTATCTATTTTTAAGGTTGACAAATGCATAACATTATTTTCTAGCTACAGCTTTCACTATGTACAATGTGCAGGCTAGGAAAAAGAAACCTGCCTAAACCTGCAATATACTTGTATAGGCTTTCAAGGTCATCATGAGTCAAGCAGTGATGAGCTTTCAGGCTGAGTGCCCTGGTCTAGTTTTTGTGTGTCGTGATGTTTCAGTGACAACTATGGCTGGCATCTTTTTATAAAGGAGAAACACGTTATTTCAGACTTTTAAAATTGGATTTCAAAAATTAAAAATCTTGAGTACAATATTTTTAACTTTTTCTAAAGGAAATAAGCATATAAATATAGGCAGGCTGCAGTGTGAATTACATTTTTTTCATCTTCTATCTATCTATCTATCATCTATTGATCTATCTCTATTATTTATCTATTGATCTATCATCCACTATCATCTATATTTCATCTATCGATCTATCTCTATCATCTATCTATCTATCTATCATCTATCTATCTATCTATCTATCTATCTATCTATCTATCTATCTATCTATCTATCTATCNTCTATCTATCTATCTATCTATCTATCTATCTATCTATCTATCTATCTATCTATCTATCTATCTATCACCTACCTACCTACCTACCTACCTACCTAACCTATCCCATCCATCCATCTATCCATCTATCCATCCATCACACCATCCAAATCATCTAAATATCTATCTGTAAACTTTATTGGCTGCCCATATTACCACAGGGTAACTCTGGATAACTTACAATCTTAAACAAGCTTTTTCTAACAAGCTGATTTACATACAGGCATTTGTAGCATTTGCTTTCCTAGATGGATCAAAGAAAACTATAGCGGTCACCTCTGTTCTGAGTTTACAGCCTTCAAGAATTACTTTACTTACAAATAGATATAAATGCTTACACCTAATGAGGAATTTGAGAAATGTCTTATCTGCATTTTCTTATAACATTAGGCTTCAATTCTTCTGAATTCAGCTCTGTCCTTTGTGCAAGTAAATGCCAATCACTATCTTATCAGAAGTCCTAAAACAGATTTAAGTGGATTTCCATGCTTTTAAAAAAACTGGGAGGATTCATTTATCATCAGATGTAATGCAACAGTTATCTATAGGCAAAACTTCCTTTTATGAAGCTCTATTAGGGAAGAAACGCGGGTAGGTCATATACAATATTATTAAATAACATTATATTGCTCTAATTTTTTGTTTCATTTTAGATCATATACCAGTACAGCTAAATATACATTATTGTATTTAAAAATCTGGGGAAAGAATGTAGATGAATTTTTGGGACATATGACCATGGTCAAATTACAGTGATGCCTTAGTTCATTGTTTAAAAACAGTGGTTAGGCAAATGTTAGTTCGTATTATGAAACAGCTGCTGATCAGCTCACTTATTCAATATGTTTGTAGACATATTTATAAATAGTAAGGATCAATAAAATATTTATAATTATCTTTCTAAAATAAATCTCCTTGACTCCACATCACTCTTTTGTATAAAACTTAGCAATGTATATATAGTTCTATATCAGCAGAATGCTTTATTATTTTTATTTATTTATATATTTATATTTAGCTTAATTGTATTCATGTCAAAGTTCTGTAAGGTTAATGTTATTTTGGCTGTGACAAACCTGATATTATAGCTATTACTCTGAGGAACTAATTCTAATAATCATGGAAATAATTTTCAAGGGAAAAAATCACTATGCTTATTTCTGGATAATGCAGATATAAATTATATACATAATTATATACATAATTTATAATCACACCTAAAACATTCTTTAAAAAGCTACTACAAGATTTAGAGCATACATATATTTAATAAAAGCTGTCATGTTATTGATTACTTTTAATTTAAACTAAATTTCAATATTAGTTATTGCGTAACCACTGTAGATGCCATGAGCTAAATAAATAAAAAGTGATCAGTTTGAATGTATAGGATACAAATATGAAATGTAGCAAAATAAATTCAGTTTACTTTTTCCCCCCAATAAGTTTGCTCATATTTTTTTAAGAAGAAAACAGTCTTGGTTAAATTAGGCCCCTTGTTGGGGGCTCACAAAAGTGTTCATTTTGGAATTACGCTATATTTTGTTGGGTACTTTTTTATAAAACAAAAAAATGTTTTAACTTGATTGTTAATTAAATAAATACAGAGAACTAACAAAATATATGACAGAAAATGCTCTCATATAAGTACTTATTTTAGCAAAGTTAATTTATAAGGCAGTATTAAATACAGCATTTGTAAAATAGTTATATTGGAAATCATACTCCTTTGGCATATTCAGAAAAGTAGATAGGATTTAAAAAGTTATAAATTTCATCCTACCCCTCATTAATGTTAATTTAAAATTATAATTCAACTAGTATATGTAATTACAGTTCGAAAATATCCAGAAACAATTATATATAATTGACTTAACTTGGGACATAAAAGGCCATATAAATATAAATATATCTTTTTATCTTATTTTTTCTATCTTGTTAAATTTAAAGCAGTCGTTTTCTAATTGGTTTGTATGTGTTTAGTCTGCTTTATTTTGTTACCCCGTGAGACGGGCAGTGATACACACGTGATGAAGTAATACAAATAATATAAAATCATTGCAAATCAGAAGCCCAGCCCACTCTGTTTTTTGAAATCGAAGAGCCAAGCCTACTTTTAATACCGCACGACTGCCCGAATTAATCCTAGTTCTTTTTCGACATGCTGCTTATTAAAATATTTTGCATTGCAACGCCCCTGGCACTTGTCCATTTGATATGTTGACCGGGGATAATGGGAAGTGCATTCCGTCTCACGCAGCCTCTGGCTTGCCATTCGTTTGGCGAAGTCACCGAAACAGAAGATAACAATAAATGTCAGCTAGGAAATCCGCAAAAAAACAAACAAACCCCAAACCCCTGCGTGAGCGTGCAAGTAAAGGCGAGAGGGAGATGATTGACAGCTCAAACAGTCGGTTAGGGAAGAAAGGAAACATGATGGAGCCAGACAGTCCCGAAGGCGGCGGACCCTCGCCTGGGTAGAATCCAAAAACAACCAATCAACGGCGGGGAAGAACTCCGGCGCGAGAGAAATGGGAAGGTCCAGCCTACCACGCGCGTTGTTTACTACAGGAGAAAGCTCCTAGCAACCGAAGAACTAACGTCCTCATGGCAACCACGGCGCTAGCTCTGCAACAGAAAAGAGCGGCGGACTAGGCCGTATCTTCCTAGATTCTAACAATTACGGAGCGAACCGACCATCGGCTCAGTCTGGTAAGCAGCTGCGAACAAGTGGGTGTATTTGTATATTCAACTTATGTTCAATATATATTCAACATAACACACTTTTTGGTCTGCATTTTTCTTTTCTTGTTTATAGCATCTTTCTGCCAAGACTCTGGAATGGTCATAAGCCATGGGAGTAGCCTTGACTAGAGCAGCTCAGTGGACGGCGGCTGGAACTGGAACGGGGACCTTAGAAATTACTCCCCTGAACGAATCTCTTTTGAATGAAATTATCAAGTTCACAGAAACGTTTAGTAGCAAGCATCTCCAGGAAGCAGCTTTTGTCTTTAAAGAACCACTTGAATGGCAAACAAAACTAGAACCATCTGCATTTGAGGCAGGCTATGATGTCAGGTAAGTCTGTGGCCAGCTCACTCTTCCCAGAATGTACAGTATAAGAACAAAATAAGTCTTCAAGATGCCTATAAAAATTTTTTTTTATGGGTGCAGATTTTGTTTTCCCCATTTCCTAATGGAAATATTAGGATGTGATTTGGATCTTTTTGTCCTGTGATGTCTTATCACCTTTGCATCTGCAAATCTTCAGATTAGCAACCCTTTTTATTGGTCAAGATAATTTGAAGGAATGTAAGGAACATAATCATAATAATAGAGTTCAAGAAAGAGGCAGTTTGATATAGTGACTAAAATGTTGAGCTAGAAATCAGGAAACTGAGTTCTAGTTGTCCTATAGGCATGAAAGCTGATTGGATGGCTTTGGGCCAATCATGCCCTTTTAGTCTAACCCATCTAACAGGAGATGGAAAGAGACAGAAGATAGAAACATTAATTATGAATGCTACAGCTAGTCCTAATGTTACAATGGAAATTAAAGTTAGGATTGCCATCGATAAGCAATTCATATAGTGTCACATCACATGACTGTGTTGCTTAGTAATGGTAATACTGACAATCTCCATTGCATTATAACCCCAGGAGCATCCAAGTCAAATGGGAAGAGGTAAGGAGTGTGTGGCTGCCATGGATGGACCTTGGGAAGGTAACAGCAACAGACAAGTACAGGGAATTGTGTGTGTTTGTGGGAGGGGAGAATTTTGCAACAGAGGATAAGATCCCTGGGATCTCCTACTCCAAAGTGGAAGAAAAAGCAGCAGGGGCAACTTGTGATCTTCCCTTCAGTTTTCTACTGACTTTGCTTGTGAGAAGATTTACTTTAGAATGAATGAGCTAGAAGGAACCTTGGAAGTCTTCCAGTCCACCCCCTTGCTCAATCAACCTATATTATTTCAAATAAGTGATTGTCTAGACTCTTCTTAAAAGCATCCAGAGATGGAGCGCCCATGATTTCTGGAGGCAAGCTGTTCACTGTTAATTGCTCTCACTAATAGGAAGTTTCTCCTTAATTCCAGGTTGCTTCTCTCTTTGATTAAGGGTAGTTTCCAATCATTGTCCTCTGGTGCATTGGAGAATAATTTGACCCTCTCTTCTTTGTGGCAGCCCCTCAAGTACTGGAACACTGCTATCACGTCCCCCCCCAATTCTTCTTTTCTTTAGACTAGCCAAACCCAAATGCAGGCCTTCTTCAGGCCTTCAATCATCTTAGTTGCTCTTCTCTGAACTTTTTCCAAAGTCTCAACATCTTTTTTGTAGTATGGTGACCAAAATTGGTTGCAGTCTTACTAGGGTTTTATAAAACAGTACTAATACTTAATGTGATCTTGTTTCTATGACTCTGTTTATACAACCTAGGATTGTATTATCTTTCTTGGCTGCTGCTGCACAATTGGGGCTTATATTCAAGTGATCATTCACTAAGACTCCAAGGTCCCCCTCACAGTTATTGTTTTTGAGCCAGGTTTCGCCTAATGTGTACTTAAGTTTTTGATTTTTCCTGCCTAAATGTAAAACTTTGCTTTTCTCCACGTTGAGATTCATTTTGTTCAAATTTGTCAAGATCTTTTTGGATCTTGAGCTTGTCTTCTGGGGCGTTAGCTATTCCTGCCAGTTTAGTGTCCTCTGCAAAGCAAGTAGGGAAGGTCGCAAATAGCAATCACATGACCCCAATGCATTGCAATGTTATAATCACAAGGTGAGCCCAGGCATTCCTCATTGCAAACATGATTGAAGACATACTATGATGTAATTTGTGGACCAATCACAAGACCCCTCATTTAACATCATAGTGATTTTGAATTCTTGCTGAACAAATGGCCATAAGTCAAGGACTACCTCTAAAAATAAAATGAGATAAAATTTTTAAAAAGAAATAAAATTTAACTTTGGCTAGATGTGCTTATGATGCATTTGTGTGTTCCAAGTATACAGTATATATTGAAGAGTTCCTAAATTAAAAGAGACTTATTGCCTACAATGAACTGTCATAAAAATTGCTAAGAAATGTAGATCAAGGATCATGAGAATTATCCAAAATTCTGAAAAACGCAGCATTAGAAAAGCTGATCCACTATATTCTTTTTGAAAAACCAATAAAGGCTATGCAATTTCTAGTTCAGTATAAGAATTAATGGGATATCCAATGTTTTGTTTAATGAAGTTCGCAATATTTCCTGTTTAGAAATAATCATCATTCAAGGCTATTGACACTGACAATAATAAAAAATACAGAAATGCAAAGTACAAAAAAGATAGCAAATTGAGGCAAGTTATGTTTTGTTATTGTTGTTATTAGTTGCAAAGTCATGTCTGATCCATCATGACTCCATGGACAAGCTTCCTCTCGGCCTCCCTGTCCTCTACCATCCCCTGGAGTCCATTTAAGTAGTGACCTCAAATTAGATTTTATTCTAGCCTGATGAAATTGATCCCTCAGGAATATAGCTTCTGTATTTTGTTCCAGCTGTAGTTTCCAGGTTGTATTTTGGAGAAAATATTTTGACTTCAAACATGTATATTCCAATAAGTAAATAAGTACTCAGGATTTTCTTTGTGAAGAAATATTTGGATTGAGAATGTAAGGGCAAGTGTCAACCAATTTAGAATGTACTCTAAGGAAATGGAGTATGTAAAATAAAAATGTTCAGATGTTGAATGCTGGTTTAATTTGCTACAAAAATATCCCTTATTCTATTAATGTAATTCAAGCTATTAAAAGACAGCTCACAATATTTAATAAATTAATTTTGGTAAATTAATAAAAGAATTAACATTCAAACCTAACACTATTTTATTATAAGGCAAGATCCTACTGCTAGATGGATTAAAATCAGTTTGAGAAAATGATTTGCAAATGGTCATTGATAAAGAGGATTGGGTTTATATTTCAGTTTCCAAGACTTGGGTTTCACATCCTCTGCCCAAATTAGAAAAAAATTACATCAAAAAAGTATAGGGTATATGACTGATAAAACTGACTAAAAAATTGGAATAACTGCAGTGAAAAAGAAGCTATGTTTATTTATTAAGAATCACTGGATTTTAAATTATTACTTTATTCTTTCAGTGAAAAAACTGTTCAGTCTCACGAAAAAGACAAAAATGGACAGCCACTTCTCCTCCTTAAAGGATCAACAATTAGCGTTCGGAGTTTTGGACAGCTGTCTTATTTACTCTCTGTTGCTGGGAAAAAAAGACTGAAAGAAGCACAGGCATGTCTTGAAGGTATTCTGTACACTCTTTCTCTGAAAACCTGGATATTTCTGAATTACTTGATAATTACATTGTTTGGCCTTGTTCTATTTCAATAATTAGTTCAGAAGGAGAATTCGTTGCTACTCAAACCTAGGAGAGATAATTTATCATGATTCAATATCAGAAATAAGCTAAATAATGCTAAAATTAGATGTTTTACAATTAATGGGATAATGTTTCATTCAAATTCATATTTATTTGTAATTAACCAAGATCTTCAATAACTCAATCTGAGTTCTTTATGTAATGTGAATTACTTATAGCCAATAGAGATCCTATTGTGAAAATTCTTGGCCCTGGATATGGAACAATTGAAGGAGAGGATTTGTCCATGCTTCGTTTACTAGACAAAATTAAAAAGGAGGATGCATCAGATAATGAAATTAAAATGAAAATTTCCCTACTTCTTCAGCAATTGGATATGCAGTTGCTTAACAGCTCGCTGAAACAGATATCACAGTGAGTCTATTTCAGATAGTATTTGTTTATTTAAAGTGGGAAAATCTTATACTTTTACATTTTTAAAAATAAGATTTATTTTTGCATTTATTAACTGAAAATTCAAATAATTCCCAATAATTTGAAAAGGAAAAATAATAGAAAGTAATTTTGAATCTGGAGCTTCTGTAGTTTACTCTTCAAATATTGTCACATACAGGCTTTCATCTGAGAATAAATTAAGAACAAACATATAAAGATTTCTGCCTTGCCCCTTTGCCTTCCTCACAAGTAATTTGGAGACATTGGGTGCTATCATAGACAAGTAGTCAGAGGAAAAATGGAAGGTTGTCAGAAAACAGAAAGCATTTTCCCACAAATGTTCTATGTTAATCTGAAGTCTAGACCTAATTTTTGGTAGTTTCCTGTTCGCCCAACAGCCCTGCCACACTCTTTCCCAAACCAAGACATCCAGTGTTATGTATGAGAATTCCTGCCTTAAAGCTCATTAGCCAAGCAGTTAATTGTGTTTCTGTGGAATATAGAATTGCTTTAAAAAGGAAACCCAACATATTCTTTGATTGAATCTTTAAATATTGTTAGAATGTAATTAATTTATTCTAATTACAGAGAAGTGAGATTAACACCAACTGCTGTGAAAAATGAAGTAGAATTGCTTAAGCATTTCTCTGGGCCAATGGAAGATGCAGTCCTTGAATCACTAGACTATATATCAGGTTCAAATTGTGTTTTTTTTTATTCTTATCATTTTAAAAAATGTATATTAAATACAGAATAGAAGATAGGCTCACAGACATTTTGGGTTCATGATGATAATGGAGAATTTGATAAATTGACAGGAGTTTCAACATTAAACTGACCATGCTGGGGAAGAGGGAAGTTACCAATATTTATTTATTTATATTTTTCAACCCACTTCCACAGACTGTAACAGGGAAAATAGCTACCTACACAGTTCTGATCTTTGTAGGCTATAGAGATATTATGACATCTGTATATGTATTTTTCCAAGGCTTTCTTTGCTATCCTACAATTGCTAGTCTATGGCATATTTTTTGATTGCATGGTTCCTTTATTCTTTTTTTTAACAATTTTTATTTGTTTTTGAACAAGGACAAACAAACATAAAAATAAAAAACCATCTTCCATTACAAATTGTAGAAAGTGTGTCAATTGGTTACAGTATTTCCATGCATCTATCTCTTCCATAGTCATCACCTGCTTTTCATATTAAATCACATATTTTAAATTCACCTATGTTCATGTATATCACAATTATTATATTTCAACCTTAATTTTTTAGAGATTTAGAGTTTTATTAATATTTGTAGGCCGCCCTTTTCCCTGAGGGGACTCAGGGCGGCTCACATAAAANTCTGGCTGATATTTAAATTCTGCCAAAGAAGTATACTTTTTTAATGCTCCGAGTCGTTGTTATATTATAGACTGCCTTATTTGTGCTTTCCTAAACATGAGCGCAGTGGTCAAAAATTATATTTCAACATTTATTTAGATGATCTAATGCTGAACTAAGTCACTTAGAAGTGAGAATAGAGCAGATAATATAAGAGATAAGAAAAGCTTTATAGAAAATTGGAATTGATGATGAAAAGGATTGGTAAATACAATCCTCATTTCATTGTCAAAAGCCAAATGTAACAAAATATTTTGAATGAAGTTATTAGGAATCAGTTTTTCAATATTTTATCTATAATATTTTTTTCATTTGTCTATGAACCATAGAATATATCTATGGCTGGCTCAGGAATTTATCTCTGTCTGGAATTTTGCCAGTAAATTTATTTCCTAGATCCTTAACACACTTATTTGGAAGCTGTTTTGATTTTAATGGAACTTCTTTCCAAGCTTAGGACTGCAGCAGTTGGCAAAAAGTCTCTGCTCATCTTTCTACACATGTTTTTCCTTTAAGCAGTAGTATAATTTTAAAGCAGGAAAATATCATATTTTAACAAAAAAGGTCAACTGTCTTTGACAATGCTTTAAATAATCAGAACCATTCCTCTTTCTAACTTCATCTCTTATTATTTGAATAAAAAGAATATTCATTATTTTCCAGTGTTCTTTGATTTCAACATTAGAGGTACTTCAAACTAACACAGCATAAATGACTGTTACAGTGTTGCAAGTCCGGAATTTAAATATTGCTGGCAAATCAAGATTTCAAGATTTAATGAATTTGCCCAATCCCGAAGGACTCTGGGCGGCTTACATAAAAACAGTTTTAAAAATACTAAAAAAATAAAAATAAAATACAAAGACAAGCAATAATATTTTTAATAAAAAAATAGCAGTTATAATGGTATTTATGGCAAACCATTTTCTCCATATTTTTATATGTTGCATTTTCATAGGAACATTCATTGCAAGTAAGCTAAAATGGTTGGGTTTTGAGATAAGGGAATAAAATGCTAATGCTCATAATCCATAGAGAAATAATGACATCAATAAATAAAAATCTAAAATAAACCTGCACACTGACTGGAAGGCTACAATTTATTCAAAGAGAACTGACTCAACTAAAAGGGAAAGGGTGTCTCATAGAGCATGGAAATCCTGTCAAAAGTGTTTGGATAACAATAAGAAAAACAAAATACAATAGTAAGAATTTGTTGTAGACCTCCTGAACAAGCAGAAATTAGGGATGAGGTGTGTTGTGTCAAACGACTAAACATTTAAAGGAGCTTATAATTGTGACAATGGGAGATTTAAACTTCCCTGGCATCTGTTAGAAATGTAACTCTGCCAAAAGTGAGAAGTCCAACATATTTCTGTCCTTTCTTGCTGACAACTTCATTTGTTAGAAGAAGGGAGAAGGAACAAGGATTTACTGTCCTGAATCTAATTTTTATTAATAGATAGAATTTTTTTGAATAACTGAGGAATTTGGGGATACTTTGATTTCATGATAGCAAGGGGAGGAAGAAGAGTCTGACATGTATGCTGGGCTTCAAAATAATAAAATTAAACAGATAAACAATAAATTTAAAAATATGATAGGCCAGTTTCGATGTCTTTATATCCAGAAAAAGAAATGTATTAGGGAGGGATGGGAAATCCTCTAAAACATGATATTGCAGCATAGGTATATCTGCAAACAATTCTTATTTGAAAGAAAAATGGAAGATACCTATTGGGACCATTTTGAATATACATAGTACTTTCTAAATTGATGCAAAGAAATAGACTTGCATAGCCAATGGCTATGTTTATTCAAGGGGATGTTTATTCAACAAAAATCACAAAGCAGTTGTCAGGTTCGGTGGGGACTGAATAAAAAATGTAAAGTGAAGAAATGCCCCAAAGAACTCAGAAAACATTTTCAGGAACATCAGAAAGAAATGATTGGTAACAGGTGATGACAAGAAGGAAGCATTCCTAACTTGTCTTTTATGTCTGCTCTAAGAAGGGAAACAAATCTTAGTTGGTCTCATTTCCATTAGAGGAACTCAGGCTAATCAAGGAAAAGGTAAAATACCACCTAGATAATTCAATGAATTTATGTCTCCAGGGTCAAATGAATTGCATCCTATCATAGAGAAAGAACTAGGAGAAGGGGTTTCAAAAGGAATAATTTTATTTTTTGGAGTCCTGGAAAAACCTAGAAGACTGAAGGAGAATAAATGTTAATCCTGTTTTCAGAAAAAGGAAAGCAGGGTTTTTTCAGCTCGATAACTGTTCTGGCCAAGGTCCTCCAGGAAATAATTAAATAGCTTATTTGTGAGCATTTAAATAGGAGTGCAACAATTAGAAAGTTAACTAAAAATAAACAAATTAACCTTGTCTCATTTTTGACAGAATTATTACGTTGCTTAAATTGGGTGAACATTGTGTGCCTCGTTCTTACCAAGAAACAGCAAAATAATAAACTAGACAGGGAAGACAAAAATAGTTTCATGAATAAAATGGTGAAAAATGGCTAAGTGATAATTTAAATAGCTCTTTGTTGGATTGGGAGATAGAATTGAATCAGCTATGTCTTGAGTGTATTGCAATATTTTATTAGTGTCAAGGGTAAGGGGATGATATCAGATTTGCAGATAACATAGTATTAAAAAGTATAACTACTCATTTGGAAGAGAAAATAAAGATTCAAAGAAATGAGCTGGGACAATGAAATGAATATGAAATTCAGTAGGGATAAATGTAATGCCTTTCATCTGGGGTGAAAAAAATGAATGATAGAAATATAGAATGGCAAGAGATCTCACTTGGTAGTCATACATGTGAAAAGGATCTGGGTATTCTAATAGATGTATTAAATATGAGCTAAAAGATTATGAACTGAAAAGTAGGTAATGTTCTGAGATTTATTGACAGGAAAATATTTAAATGGAGACTGAACAATCATTGTTTAAAATCAGATTATGCACCAAATTCGGAGTTTGCTTAGATAACCTCAGAAATTCTTTCCAGCTTTATGATTTTATAAGTATGTTCGCCACCTTGGGGAGGGAGGGAAGGAAAGAGACAGACAGACAGGCAGATATTAACTTTGCCTCACTTTTTGACAAAGTTACTAATTTGGTTGAATGCTATGTGCCTTATTATTTTAGATGTTTAATTTAAAAGCACCATGCATTATTATATTTAATATTGATATCAAATATTGATATCAAAATGTAAAAGAAGAACATATATTTAAAATAGTTATATATATAAACTTAGTTCATTATTAGTATTTCAGAAAAATTCAACATTTGTAATCTCAGTTTTTACAAGATTTAAAGCAGCTTCCTTGCTAGCCTTAAGTATCTTATGGAAAATACCAACTTCCACTTGTTGCATAGACAAGAAAATTGAGATTTTCTTGGTAGGTAAAAAACACATTCAAAGTTGCAATATTTCAAATATTGAATGTTGCATATTCTAGTAAAACCCTTAGCAATATTTAGTGCAGTTTTTATTTTAAATAAGTGGCTCACATTTGTTTTTATTACAAATTTTTCCTACAGTTCCTACAATCCTTTTCTTTTGAAGGGAGGCTTAAGATTTTAGTAGCAAGGTGGTTATCTACATAAATATCTGTTATACAGTTCTTACAGCAAGTTATTTAATATATTCATTTTCAGTCCATGAAATAGAATTTTAGCTAATAATTGTGTTTTTTTAAAATACAGAATCAAGTATACATTTTTAATCAAAATTTTGATTTAGTTTCTTTATGGCTATCTTTTTTTAAATCAAGAATTGTGATTGACAACTTTTATATGCTAAGAAAATCAAACTACCTAGCTATCCTCTGATTTACTAATTTCTTAGCATGTTTTACTCATTTGAAAATATGACTTTTTTCTAAACATTTTCATCTCTTATTAGAAATATACATTTTTTGATGAACCAAAGTATGAAAAGCAATATTATCCACATATCGAAACAGTTGAGGGAGATGAATTTGGCCAAGCCCCAAAGTTTAACGACTATGCGGAAAAGCCTAAGAGTCCTCTTGTAAAAAGTAAAACTCCTGACAGCAAGAAATTAGAACCATCTCTTAAGTGGAAGGCTACAACGGGCACTCGAGAGTATGTAATTTTTTAGATTTTCTGACAAATATAATTAATCTGAATTTTTGCAATGTAATATTGTTAGCATTTTTTTAAAAAAATATATGAAATTGAACAAATTTAAATTTGCTCTAATTTAAAAGCTTTATTTAAATAAATTGTGATTTCCAAAATGTTACTTTTCCTTATTTTGTGACAACTCAGCAATTAGAAAAGTTTGTATTCAAATCATACTTCTTTAATATAAGTACATGCTTCATAATAGCAATAGCAATAGCAATAGCANTTAGAAACTGGATAACACACTAAGTTCAATGCAGATCAATCTCACTGCCTACAGTCTTCTGTCTTCAATCTTAACTTATTTTTTTAGGGGGGGGGTAGTCTCTTCCTCTAATAATAAAATTTCCTCACCAATTCAACACACTTTCTCTTTCCACTTTCTTCCCATTCCGGAGCTGTCCCAATTTCAGCAGCTTCATTAGCTGTGTTTCTGTCGCTGGAAAAAAAGGGCTATTCCTGGATATTTCAGTGTCCCTGAGATCAGCAAGAGATGCCCTTCTCAATCACCTCTCTGCAGAATGGTTTAGGTCCAAATGGACCATCCAGCGGCAGAAATTCGACTGCAATCTCAGAGCACCAAGATCGCACGTCGTGCCATCATTACATCAGCTCTCCTCAGATTCCTTTATTCTTGATAGTTGAACCTAAAAGGCAGAAATTGTCAACAATTCCAATATTTTCACAACCAATTCTAAGACTGGTTGTTATATCTGTTATCATTTATATCTGTTTATAGCCCCCCATCTCACATTTGATGTGGCATAATTAAAATAAAACTATTAAAATATGGTTACGATGCCTGCAATTTGGCAGTTCGAATCTCACTAGGCTCAACCTTCCATCCTTCTGAGGTGAGTAAAATGAGGACCCAGATTGTTGGGGACAATATTCTGACTCTGTAAACTGCTTAGAAAAGCTGTAAAGCATTGTGAAGCAGTCTATAAGTCTATGTTTTATTTGCTGTTACTATAATCCATAATATAAACTAGAAAATTTTACAGATAATGTAGCCATTTAATGAGCTCTATAGTTCCATGGATCCCTTGACCTAAAGACTTCACCCAGTATCTTTTATATGGTTAATGTTAAATAGGAGCGCATAGAATACCAAGCCTGGTGGCGTGGCACATAGTAGGGAAGAGGGAATAATCTCTCATTGCCAATAAATATTGACCTCAAAGGAAGAGAACCAGCATAATACGGTGCTGCCCACTTCCAGCTCCCAAGGCTGCTCAAGATAGATACCATGATTGATATATCAAAAGCTGCTGAGAGGTCATCCTTGAGATAGATGCATGACCTCTATCTTGTTCTCACTAGAGGTCATCAAAAATACAATTGATATTGTCTCTGGCCTATGCTAAGATCTGAATTGAAAGGGCTGAAATAATTTACTTCATACAGAATTCTATGAAACTTTTGTGCCACTATCTTCTCAGCAACTTTCCCTAAAATGAGAACAGTGGATACTGGACGAAGGTTGTTCAGTATGGTGAAATCTATTTGTGGCTTCTTGAGGAGAGTGCGAACTAACTCCTCTTTGAAGGTTGGAGAAACAACTCCCTGTCTTAAAGAAGAATCTACAATCTCCAACCACAATTCATTAGCTTAGCAGTCTTATCTATTCAGGAAGTATATAAATCTAATGAGCTCACGATAAATGTAAATCTAATAAATAATTAGTTCTCCCTTTTTTATTTGTAAACTTGGACTCATTTTTTTCATTGTCTTGCTTAAAATCCTTGAAAAGAACTTGCAGATTCATTATATTTTCAGTTATCAATACGGTTTCATCAGCTTAGCACAGTTTATTAAATGTTTCTTCCCTCAGTATTAAAACCACCCTCATATCTTTCTAACACAGCTCCCTAATATGGCGCCAGACATAAAGAAAGCCCTGGAATACCAACTGCATTATTCAGCAGCCATTTCAGGTTATAGTAAAAATAACTTTATGACCACTACCCTCATTTATGACTTTTGCAACATCTCTCAGGCACATGACCACCATACAGTCAGTATGCACTGTTTTGTGTCTGATATATTGTTTTTTCTTGTGATCCCCTCTTTGCGGAATAGAGAGATTGGAGAGGAAGGAATAACAAAAGAATAACACAATGGGAAATACACCAGCCTTGTTGAGTAGAGTGTGCTCACAGCTGCTGGTACCAGCACTTGATTTCATTGTGCATTCCCCATTGTGTGCCTGCTTAATCTCTTGTAATCTCTTCCTCCAATGAATCCAAATGGTACAATCATTATTTCCCTTCCTATTAATTATCCCAGCGCCAGAGTGAACATTCCAAAGGCTGGGGAAGTAGGCAAAAAGGAAAGTGCAATTGCATTTCCCCCTTAGTGACAATTTTGCTTAACGATGGAGTTGCTGGTCCCAATTATGGTCTCTAAGTGAGGATTATCTGTAGATGCTTCCTGTTCAGGCCTGGTATATTACCTATTTTACTTGATAGTGTTAATTTTTATTATGCATGGTCTCAAATAGTAGATGACCTTTTAACCATTTTTTAATGTGTGCCTTGGAATCAATGTTAACTTTGGCAACTGCCTGGACAATTCACTGCAGTTCTTTTTGCAAGATTTCAGAAGTGGTTTGCCATTTCTTCCTTCATATGAGAAAGAGTGATTGGCCAAAGTCATCAAGTTGGCTTTGTGCCTAAGTTGGAACTGGAATTCATGGTCTTATAGTTTCTGCTGCCTTAACCACTATATCAAATTGACTTTTTAAAAATTAATCTGCACTGACTGAATAGGCAATGTTTCATTTCCACTAACATCACAGTAAAAGTTTATATACTTTTTTTCCTCTGTCAGGTAAATTAAAGTGGACTAAAACATTGCACTTGTTTTTTCAGACTATGAATTCTTCAATGGATGTCGTGCCCCTCCTTGGAGACAAGTGCATGGGGAAATTTGTTATTTGTCAATTAAACCACGTGACACAGATGCTATGTTTGTTACTTGTAGCACAGCAGGAATATTCTTAAATGGAGTAAGTAATTAAAGCAAAGCTTTATGGCCTTTATTTTAGAGATTGTGTCTATGATCTAAATAAATGTTTGTTTGCTTACCGATTAAAACTGTTGTGCTACTTGTAAGTCAGTAATATACGTAAATAGTTTTCTTTTAAGAAGATATTTAAATGTATAATTACCTTAGTTGATTTTTTGCACCCAAATAATTTTGTGGTGGTCCTGTGCACCTACATTCTATTCCTGCTGTTCCTTTATATACTGATTTATGCTATGCTTATTTTAATTATGAATTAGAATATAAATTGTTTTCTTTTATTGTAGGACTTGTGATTGTGAATTGGATCACCATTATGCATATAGAGAAATAACACAAGACATTTTAAAAATAATGTGCTATAATGCTGCTGAGAGAAATAAGGATTATAATTATATTATAGTATTGAAACGGAAGAAAATAAATAATATTGAAATCAATGTGATTCATTCATTTTAATTTTAAGAGATGTTTCAAAATAGAATGGATTGAACCAACTTAAATCATGCCAGAGGTGAAGATTGCAATATGTAAACCCCCTGGAAATAAGTTCCATTAAATTCAGTGTGACTTACCTAGAAATGAGTATAAGCTATTATACTCTGTGTTTCTGAGAAATCTGTGAAACAGTTGAAAATTATATAAAACTTGGTTTTCCTCTAGGGAAGAAGCAATGAGAGAGATGAAATTGATTATGAGAGGAAGAGTGACATATATAAAGATCTTGTCACATTTTTAAGAGAACGATCAGCAGCATTTGTAAGCAATATGGTTAAACAGGTATGCATCTTTTGTTATTATACTTCTAGTTCTCATCTATACTATGAACAGCTTGAAAGCTTGCATATCTTGAGTTATTTTATATGTGATTTTGTATCTTATTTTAGTTCAGTCTGTTTATGCAATATACGGGCACACATACTGTACAATAACACATTGGATAACTTCACACATATTAAGTCACAGTCTGGCCTTTTGGTTTATTATGTTGTGTTAATGTTGGATTAAATGCAGGGTAATTCAGGTTCAATGGAATTCCCATAGTGACTTTAGGTCAATGACTCTCTCACACCTCATATAAGGTTGTGGGAAAAATATATGTAGAGAGAATAGAATAGAATAGAATAACAGAGTTGGAAGGAACCTTGGAGGTCTTCTAGACTAACCCCCTGCTCAGCAGGAAACCCTGTATCATTTCAGACAAATGGGTGTCCAATCTCTTCTTTAAAACTTTCAGTATTGGAGAATCACAAGTTCTGGAGGCAAGTTGTTCCACTGGTTAATTGTTCTGTCAGGACATTTCTTCTTAGTTCTAGGTAGCTTCTCTCCTGGATTAGTTTCCACTCATTGTTTCTTGTCCTACCCTCAGCTGCTTTGGAGAATAACTTGACTCCCTCTTCTTGTGGCAGCCCCTGAGATATTGGAACACTGCTATCATGTCTCCCCTAGTCCTTCTTTTCATTAAGCTAGACATACCCAATTCCAGCAACTGTTTTTTATATGTTTTAGCCTCCAGTACCCTTATCATCTTCGTTGCTCTTTTCTGCACTCTTTCTACAGTATCATCATCTTTTTTATATCATAGTGATCAAAACTGGATTTAGTATTCCAAATGTGGCCTTACCAAGGGATGATAAAGTAATATTAACACACTTCATGTGATCTTGATTCTATCCCTCTATTAATGCAACTTACAACTGTATTGACTTTTTTGGTAGCTGCTGCACACTGCTGGCTCATATGTTCACTATGATTCCAAGATCTCTCTTATTGAGTGTGATACCACCTATAGAACTGTACCTGTGCATTTGGTTTTTCTTGCCTAAATTAGAACCTTACTTTTTTCACCATTGAATTTTATTTTTTTAGAGAGTGCTCAATGTTCAGGTTTGTCAAGATCCTTCTGAATCTTAAGCCTATCTTCTGGAGTGTTGGCTATTCCTGACAGCTTGGTGTCATCTGCAAATTTAATGAGTTTCTTATCTATCCCCTCATCCAAATCATTGATGAAGATGTTGAAGAGTACTGGGCCTAAAACAAAGCCTTGGGGTACTCCACTGCATACTTCCCTGCATGTAGATGCAGTTCTGTTGTGAAGACTACTTGTTGGGTGCAGTTGGTCAGCCAGTTACGAATCCATCTGGTGATGATGCTATTTAACCCACATTTTAATGTTATCAAGTCGTAGATTGTGGTCTACTTTGTCAAATGTCTTGCTGGAATCCAAGTAAATTATATCCACAGCATTCCTCTGGTCTACTAATTTTATCACCTTGTCAAAGGATGCAGTACGTTTTGTCTGACATGATCTGTGTTTGACACACCCATGTTGGCTTTTGCTTATGAATTCGTTTGCCCCTTGGTGCTCATTGATTCATTGCTTGATAATCTTTTTCAGAATCTTCCCAGGTATTGAGATCAGGTTGACTGTAGTTTCCTGGATCTATTTTTTTCCTTTTTTGAAGATGGGAATTACATCAGCTCTTTTCCAGTCCTCTTGTAGTTCCCTGGTGCTCCAGGATCATTATGTGTATTGAATTCAGTACCCCCCCCCCAAATGGCATGTAAATTGAATAAAGTATTGTTAAACAACTATAGCTCAATGCAACATATAAGTCCACCAATAGGTTCTTTGACTAAGTACTTTTGGTGATTTACAGTATATATGAAAATAAATTGTAATTATATCAGGTACATTGCCCAGCCAGCAGTGTGCAGCAGCTGCCAGAAAAAGCCAACACCGTTCTATGCTGCATAAATAGAGGGATAGAATCAAGATCACATGAAGTGTTAATACCACTTTATAAGTCCTTGGTAAGGTCACACTTGGAAT